TGGGGGACAGGCAGCCTTTGTCCTTTGTCCTAAGGTGCCCTTCCATGAGTGGCCAAGGATGGGGATTGGTCTGTGACCACCACCACCCCCCCCATCACTGTGTGGAAAACAGGCTCTGGGCAGCCTCAGAGGGGCTAGAATTTGCAAATGGGTCTTAGCCGATTTCATTAATGATCAGAGTTTGCCTCTTCATATTGTTGGAAGGTCACTCTGTCTTCCGTGCATTGTGAGCTCCTGAGGGCAAAGCGTATTTCCTTTTCATCTATGGTATTCCATGCAATTATGTTCCCTTATTCAGTCACCTGAATATTCCAACACTGTTTCCTCTGCACCTCCCATGTACTGGGACTGGGAGATGAAAACAAAATAAGACACAGTCCCTGTCTGCATGAAGCACACTTTGTAAGAGGAAAGATGGCCACCTGAGTGGTCTTGCTTCAATAGCGGGAGCAGCACCACAGTGGAAACCCATACAAGGTCTTCCCTTTGCTCCTCCTCTCCCTTCTGCCCATGCCTATTACGGTGCCCAAAACCTGACAGGCAAAATCAGGTCTACTGAACTAAAATCTGCTACCCATTCAATGCACCTCCACAGCCCTTTTGGTTTCGCAGGCCCATGGTAGTTCGGGGGCCACCACCTTTCTGTCTTACAGCTGTTTTCAGGGCTAGACGTTGCTGGACTAGGTTTGGGCTGTTCCATGGAGCCTGGTCCTTCTGGAACAAGTAGCAGGAGCTGAATTCAGGCTGAATCAGTAAAGTAGCTTTGAGGAATGTCATGCCGGACCTCAGAAGACCAGAGCTCCCGGCACCTGAACCTGTCTCTTTGTAGCCATGTTTACCCTCTGTTAGGGTAGCAGTGAGAAGCTGGGAGGTGAGTCCAGCACCATCTAGCCCCCCTGTGTCTCTCCAGCTCAGGAGGACTCTGTGCACCCACCTTCTTGGTGACAATGTTGCCCTGCTCATCTGTGAACTGTTCCTCTGTCACCTGCTCCCCTGGAATACTCTGAAACTCATTCCCCTAGGATTGGAGAAAAGGAGAAAATTCAGTATTAGTAAGCGCGTAGTCTGGGAAAGAGGTGGCGGATGAAAAGAGTGGGAGCCAGCAGCCACAGACGGACAAATCCCCACCACGGCAGGAAACTCCAACTCAGCAAGTCGTGGCACACAAACCGAGAGCTCCAAGCGCGAGCGGTGCCCCTGGGGGCCGTGGGGCCCGAAGATGGGATGGAGCCCCAAGCTTGCGAGATTGATACCCTCAACAGGGAGCAGGCAAAACCGGGCTGGTTACATAAGTTTTACAGAGGAGGCCCTGAGGCGGGAAGTGAGGCACCTAATTTCGATTTCGACAGCACCTTCCGGTGTAGAAAGCCCTTCCACAGACACTGAGGCCGGGAGTGTGGCCTCCCAAGTCCCGGAGCTGAGCCTCCGGTGCAACCGCGGCACAGTGGGCTGTGCAGAATCCGCACCCGTCCCCTGACGTGGGGTCCCGCACCACCCCCCAGCTGCTGCCCGCACACATGGCAGTGCCGTGCCCTCAGCCCTGCCTCCTGCCTGGTGGTTACCTTCAGGAAAACCCGACGCCGGACCACCCTGGTGGAGATGGTCTCCTCGTCGTCACTCACGCCCTCGCTCTCCCCCAGCTCCTTGTCCAGCTCCTGGTGGATGTGCTTCAGCACAAAGCACAGGGAGCCCTTGACAATGTGCATCACATTCTGACAGCTGACCAGAAAGAAGCCCAGGAGCACTAGGGTGACCAGGAGCTGGGTGATGAAAGTCCACATCCTCACCTCCTCAGCAGCTGGGCCCTCCAGGGACTAGCAGGACTAGGGGTCCGGCTGCTGTGGGGGTCCAGTCTCTCATTCTCCTCTGGGACTCCTGAGTGCCCCTGGGGCCCCTTCCATTCTCTCTCCGCAGGAGACTGGACGGCCTCTCACCACAACTGCCCCGCTGAGTGCCCTCCTACTGAGCTGCCCTAGGCTCTGCCCTCACGCCTGGGTGACATCAGGCCTCGATAATTTTAGCTCCCCAAACCAGCTGCTGGGGCTGTCCAACTGGGCTAGAAGGGAGCTGGCAGGTGCGTCTATCCTGGGCACTGAAAGCGCATGTCAAAGTCACTCTGTGAGTGACTGGTGCCCCGCCCTGTGCTCTTGCCCTCCAGGCCTATGCGAACTACAGGCAGTGCTGCCCAGGAACATGTTCCCTTTCGGGGACTCCAGGAAAGCTGTTCGAGAATGTGGCTACTTGTGTGTTTCCCTGGGCTGTTACTGCCGTGATGAGAACGGAGTTCACCCCCATGCGCAGGGATGGGACTGGCTAATACCCTGGACAGACAGGGGTTTCTTTCAAAAATAGCCCTGGGATGAGTGATTTGCTCAGGCCTAGCCAAATTAGCCCAGTGGGGTCCACACTGGTGGTGGGGCCCCCTGGAAGCCCTTGCAGTTCCCATCAGCCCCGAGGGCCCTCTGCACTCCCCGCCCCCTTTACCGGGCACAGCAACCCTAAACGTAAGCGTGTAACTGGTGTGTCTATTTAAGGCCTGTCCTCAAAGGCTCTTGCCATGCTGGGCTGTCAACGCCCACGAGCAGGAACCATGCGCTTTAAGCTTGTCTTCACAGAGCTGATTCACAAATGCAGCGGGCAGCAGCTGCCGCAGAAAGGAATTTCACTTTCGGGATCAAGCTGTTCCTCTTTGAGTAACAGGGAACAAAGATCTGGGACACAGCCAGCTGACCCTGCAACTCACTCACTGTAAGGGCTGGGAAACCTGGGTACCTTCTCTGGGCCTCAGTTTCCTCCTTCTGTAAAACAGGGACGACTAGGAGTGAGTACTGCTGGCAGGCAGGATTCTACGTGCATTTCATACACTAACCCAGTTAAGCCTTCCGACGACCCTGCCATTTTTCCATTTTACACAGAGGAAATAGAGGCACAGAGAGGTTAAATAACTTGCCTGGTCAAAGAGTAAGGAAATGACTCAAGTTTCAAACTCCCATCACTACACAATACTGCCTTGTTTCAACAAGGAAGCACCTGGAAAAAATAAAAGCCCATGGCACATGCAAAGGAGCTGGGCGCTGGAGAGCATTCACTGTTAGCCCAGATAAGAGTCCAACTTCAGATATTTCCATCTGGGGTCTCAGAGGAGAATGTCCTACAGTCATCTCAGGCTTGCCTTCCTGGCTCCAAATTGGAGGGCATCTCTCTGTCAGTGTTTCCAGAGACTTACTGGAAATACTAGTAAATGGGCTCTTTGGAAACCCTTCAATGGGCCTCATTATCATCTCTGGAGTCCCATCCGATGACGAGGACAACAGCTCACCCACAACATCCAATCCTGTCCTAGATTTGGAAGGCATCAGGCCTGGGGGCCCTTCATAGCCACTCATTCCGACTGGGAAACAGGATCCGGACTCCTCTGGCCCTGACACTGGTTCACTGTGTGACCCTGGAGAAGTTTCTCTGGAACCTCAGTTTCCTCAATGATAAATGAGGCAGTTGGACCCTATGACCTAGAAGGTTTCTCTCATGACCCCCTAGAGTGCCCTTGCTTTTTCCCCAGTCCTCCCATGACCAAAGGCTGACTGCAGAGGGGCCATGCATAAGAAGGCTCCTGGCGTCCTTCTCTTTCCCAAGGATTCAGGATCATAGACCCGGTTAAGAGCACCCATGCTCTCAGCCCAGTGCTTGCTATTAGGAGCAGTAGAAGTGCCAAAGGCTAGCCTGATGGCCAAGAATGCACAGGGTGGTCTGGGGTTAAAAATGGACACAGCTGCCTATCTTGTCCAAGTCACATACTTGGAGGGAAGTATCTAAATAAAACCATATTGGATTCCTAGCAGTTCTTTGCAGCCAGCAGCCCAGCACTATTGTGCAGCTAACCTGGTCGTGGGCGCCCCAAGGTGCCTGCTAGGGCTCAGGTTCAGGTAGGGCAGAGAGAGAAGAGAAAGCAGCAGAGGGGAGAGAGAAGAGGAAAGGGCTCCCAAATGAGGAAACAGTCCTGACTGAACCATAAGAAACCAAATGAGACGCAGAACACATCATTTATGCACACGCTAAAAATGCATATGCACGGAATGGCCATGCAGATTTTATAAAAGAGCATACATTAAAAAGGCACAGCTTAATAAGGTATCTGGGTATTTTGTTTCAAAATAATACGTTGGGGGAGAGAAAAGTGGAGAAGGTATAGATGAAACAAGATTGGCCATAACTGGGTAACTGTACAGCCTGGGTGGAGTGTGCATGGAAATTCTGTTTTTGTATTTATTTGCGATTTTTCAAAATAAAAAATTTTTCCAAAAACACATTAAAATGGATGTCTACGGGAGTGGGAATGTTGGGGGGCAAGAGAATGTGAAAGGGGAGTGAAGCTAAAGCAAACAGATAATAAGTACAGCAGGGCAAACCCAAACAGAGGAGGGAGGCCTGAGGTAGGCAGACAAGAAGTCAGGAGCGAGGCCAGCAGGCCTCTCCTGGTCCACCTGTGGAGCCCCCCACAGGATCACAGAACTCCTGAGCCAGTGCACCTTGGTGGTAATCCATTCACTCCTCTTTTACCAATGAGGAAACCCAGATGCCGAGAAGAGAGTGGCTTGTCCGTAGCCACACTGACCATGGTGGGACCAGAGTCAGTCTAACACTCAGGTGTCTCTGCTCTACACCCTTCCTAAAACACACCACGGAAACAGAAAACAAACAAAAACCATGGCTTGGGAATCAGCCAGACCTAACTGCAAAGCCTGCCTCTCATCCTGTGACCTTGGACAAGCGGCTCGACCGTCAGCTGCCACATGGGAATGACAACAGAGACCCGAGGCAGTGTGAACATGACATCATAGGCTGTGTGCCTGGGATGCCCCGTGAATGTTACTTCCTTCCCTCAGCAGAGACCGGGGCTTTGTATCCTTGCTTCTAGAGAAAGTGAAGTCACAGCCACAACTTTTAAAGAAAGGAAGCATGCTTGGCCTGGGGCTTGATGGAATGAGAGGCTGCCCTGGGCCTCAGGCCCCTCCAGTGCTGGCAGGCATCAGCAGGTGCCTCTGTGGGCGTCTCACCTCTGCCATCTGGGAGAAAGTGCTCCGAGCCTCCTGCACCCACTCCTGGTGGCTTTGTCGTCTCCGTTCCCTGTCGGCCTGCAGGCTCTCAGCCTCTGGTTGCTCCTCCCAAATGTGCTCAGTTGCAGACAGCAGGACCTTCTCATACTCCTGAGACCCACTGGGCTCCAGCTCTTTGATGGTGGTGACCGTACTCTGGAATGAGTGTGGGCCACGTACGACCTCCTCTTGCCAGGAACTTTGTGCAGCATCTTGTAGGTATGAGACAATGGAGCCTTCTTCCTCCCAGTCCTGCAATCTGGGGTCCAGGAAGAGAGAAAGGGCACTGGGTCGCCCTTCAGTCTCTGGCCGCTCAGATACCCTCCCCCTCCAGAGCGCTGGCTCCACATCCCATACTGCACACCCAAGGGACGGGACTGCATGAGCAATTACACATGGTCAGCACATAGCTGACTGCCCTGTCCAGAGAGGCACAAGTGGCCCGTTCCTGCTGTCCAGGTGGAGAGGGCCACGGGTACCAGTGCCACTGGCCCATCCCTTTAAGTGGCTGGCTCTTCACCCTGGGCTCCTGAGGCACTTGGCTCACACTGATGGCTGTCACCCAGGTCTCCATGCCCATCACCTCCTCTGCCTCCCTCCAGCCCTCCAGGCCACCTGCACTCCACAGTCCTTATCCCAGTGCTCATCCAATAAGGCGACCACTCTCTCCCCATGGAAACACAATCTTCTATGGCTTCTGGATACCACATTTGCCTGGTTTTCCCCTCTCTCTGGCTACCACTTCTCAGTGTCCTTTGTCAGTTTCTCCTAATTTCTCTGACGTCTGAGCACTGGGCCACCTCAGGCTCAGTTCTCAGACCTCATCTCTACCTACATCTACTTCCTAAGTGAGCTCGTTCAATCCATGGCTTCACATCCCACCTGTGTCCTCATGATGCCCAGGTGTGCACACAGAATCTCTTCCTCAAGCTGCAGATGTATATGCCCAGCTGCCTCCTGAACGTCTTTGCTCTGGGGGGCTCTAACAGGCATCTCAGGGATAGCATGATCAAATCCATACTCCTGACTCCCCCCCCCCCCCCCCCCCCGTTCTGCCCAGTCTTCCCCACCCTGCACTACATAGCCTCTTCATCCTTCCAGTTGTCAGGTCAAGGACATTAGGGAACTCTTAGACTTCTCTCTCTCACACTCCATGTCTTATTTGTCAGCAAACCTCTTGTTTGTTCAACTTTCAAGCATATAACCTGAACACAATCATTTCTTACCACCAGCACTGCCGCCATCTTGGTCCATACTAGTAGCAACTCTTACCTCCTGGCTCATCTCCCTGCCTCTGCCTGACCCCTGGCCCTGTCAGGCTGTTCTCAAGGCAGCTGCCACATCACCTCACTTCCTCTGCTCAAAACCCTCCAGTGGCTCACCATCCCACCCAATGAATGCCAAAGTCTTTCTAGGAACTCAAGGCTGGACGTGTCTGGCCCCATTAGCTCCTTCCATCACTCTGCTGTGATCAGTGACCTTCTCACTGGTCCTCGACTAGGCCATGCATGTTCTACCACAAGACCTTTGCACTGGCTGGGTCTTCTGCTGGATATGTCCCCTCTGGTATTCATATGGTTCACCCCTTAATTCCTTCTGGTCTTCACTCCAACGTCACAGACTCAGGCCTCCCCTGCTACCCAATCCCTCATTTTGGCCATCCCCTCTCCACACAGGTATGTGCATCCCACCCTCTTCCCTCCTTTATTTTCCTTTTTAGCACTATCATCTAACTTTTACCTTTTAAATACTTTCCATTTATTTGGCTTTATCTCATTTATTGTCCATTTCCTCACTAGACCACACACTCTCTGCAGATGGGAGACTTTTCTGTGTTTTGTTCAATGCCACATCTTCAGCACCGAGGCACGTTTATAGGTGCCTGGCACACAGTAGGCACGCAATACATACTGTTGGGTGAGTGAATGACATTCATCTGTCCCCACCGGAGGGCTGACCAAGGACAGAGAGCCAAGCTGTACCACACCCTGCACTGGCACCAGGCCTTCCGGTTCCCCATTTGGTGGCCCTGCTGGGACAGTGGTGCAGCGGCTGGCACATAGTGTGCCCTAAATGCCTGCTGAATGAATGGTTACCACAGGTTGTTGGGTGATGGCCTCTGTCACAGGCATGCCAGTATTTCACTCTACTCAGTCTGTCCAATTCTCCCCACTAAACAAAGGATTCATTTAGGAAACAAAACCCAAACAAAATAAATCCCTGCTGTCTCCTCTTGTAAATGGCTTTCTCTTCCCTCCTACGTCGGTACTTGGGTCACACTGAGTGGACCCGGTCAGACTGGGCTTCTGAGAGGGTCTGAGGGGGGATGTGGGTGGGAAGAGGAAGTGAGAACAGATTTCCCACGGCCTGGCCAGACCTGAGCAACCTGGGTGTGCTGGCTGTGCACAGCCTTCAGGGAGCATGTGAACTCTCTCCTTGCTTTAGGGAAAATCTAGGAAGTGATATGGAGGAAAGGGCCACTGTGGCCCAGTTCCTATGCCAGTCCAGGAAGGCCAAAGTGACCCTCCACATTCTGCCCAGCCCTAGGGTATGGTGGGCCCACTGCCATGGATGTGAGTCGGGCCTGTGGCTTCTACAGCATCTGCAGAAGGCCCTTCTGCCTGAACCATCCAAGCTGCTGTCCCGCTACAGGCACAGGAGCAGCCCAGGAGAATCACCCGTCTCTCAGTAGATGAAAGCTCTGTCCTGCCCCAATAAGCCCACCAGCCTCACACTTTCAAAGGGGGACAGTTTCAAAGGGGGCGCCATTATCAGCTCGGTCACACGCAGGGTGTGAGACTGCCTGAATAACTTCCCTGGGCCCTGCTGCTTCTGGGTTTCTAAATATGGTCTTCAACAGCCAAGCACCCAACAGAAAGGGCCCAGGGCACCTACCCTCAGCTGCACTTTGGAGAGGTGGCTCTACCAAGCCTTACAATCTCTCTCTCCTAGCACCCTTCCCTGTCCCAACGCCCCGGCCTCTCCCCTGCTGGCCACACCCAGGGGCATCCTGGGTGAGGACTGGCCTTTACAGATCACTGCTCCACTCCTACAGGACAGAGGGCTGAGCGAGGGCTGGGTGACTTCACAGGCCAGCCGGCGCCACGCTGAGCTGCTTTGCTCCTGGGCAGTTAGAGCGCAGGGTCAAGGTCAGCAGCAGCACCTGAGCATTCCCTCTGTACTCACTGTCAGGCACCATCTCACCCGAAGCCCAGGAAGACGAAACGTATCCTGTCATGGCAGCCCGGCCCTTACCTGTCCTGGCTGGTCTCCATCACCCGACTCACGCTGGGGGATTCTGTGATGTGGGCTTGCACCCTCTGCTGGCCTGAAACAAGAGACACTTCATTCTCTGAGTCTTGACCTACACCTGTGGAGTCCTCCTGACTCTTATGACCTGGCAGCTTCTCTTCTGACCTCTGACCTTCTTCCTGGTCAAGCAAATCGATAAGGCCATTTGTGGCATCTGAATCCACTGTGTCATCCTCCACAAGGTCCAGAGAGCCCAGCATGGGGCCCTGGGGTCCCTCGGAGAGCACCCCTTCCAGCTTCCACTCATGGCCGGTGGCGTCAGAGTCCTCGGCCTTGCTGCACTCCAGAGAGGAGTCCTCAGCAGTGACCAGGGAGGGTGTGAGGCCCGCGGACCACACCTGCATGTCAGACATCTCCAGCATGGTGTCATGCTCCGTGGCCGCCAATGGGATGGCATCTATGACGGCCACCTCGTTCCAGTACTGGTCTGCACGCAGCGGAGAGGGAAGTGCGTACTGCAGGGAGGCAGGGGACAGCAGCTCGTCCTGCAGCGAGGAGTAACCTGGATGGGCAGACAGAGGGCAACATGCTCCAGAAGCGATTTTTGTCACACACACTTACGTGCAAATCCACACACACGCACACGCCTGTGCGTGCACGCGCGCGCGCGCACACACACACACACACACACACACAGGCACAGCCATTGAAAATGCATGCACATTCCGGGGAGGGGGCTTTCCAAGCTCCGTGTCCAATGCTCAGGCTTGTGGCTGCTGCCCGGGGCACCAGGGCAGGAGAAACAAGGCTCTGTGGGAGACAGCCAGGAAGTAGGGGGTGGAGACGAGGGATCCTTTGCTGAATGGCAAAGAGAAGAGATTGGAATTCTTTCTTGTCCAGTTCAGAGCGCTAGATCAAGAAGCCTTGAGTCAAGGATTTGTGCTCCAATCTGTCTAACCAGAGGAAAGCCCACTTCTTGATGTCTGGGCAGAAAGAAATGTTGCTCTTTCTTTGCTTGAAACATTCCTTTAGCACAGTCCTTGGGGTATCAGTCAGGAATGTACCTTCAAGGGAGGGTACTGCCCACCCAGGTCTGGGGGCAATAACCAAGCTGCCTTGGAGGGTCTAACGGGGTGCACCGAACACCCACCCTCCGAGCGCTGGTCAAATGGCAAACCATTTGGTTCCAGATGAAGTAACTTTTCCTCAAGTTGCAGACTGGTTCTGGAAATGCTGAGTGCTCTAAAGTGGCACAAGGGAGAGTTCTAAGCATTCAAAATAGGAGGCCAGGTCAGAGGGCAGCAGGAGGCCCCGGCACATCTGCCCTGACACTCCTGGCCCTGCTCAGTTCACACCAGCTCCAGATCAGCAGTCAGCCAGCTCAGGCCGCTGCATGCATGGCCCGAGGGTCACCACAGCCTGTTCCTCTGGCTGCTCCTTGAGACTGGCTCAGACAAGAGGCCCTGCTAGTCTTCTGGTTGGCTCTGGCACTGGCTCCCTGACGTTCAGCAGCAACTAGGAGCCTGGGTGAGTGGCACGTGTACGTGTATGAGGAATCTGAATGTGAGCTGAAAGGGCACGTTCTGTCAGTTGGCCCCTCTGCTCTCCTCCAGCCAGGAGTGTGGGTCCATGGATAGGGCAAAGAGGGCCTCTGCCTCCCCTTCAGAGCTGGTACCCATCTGTGGGTGGGAGAAGGGACCGGAACACAAGCTTCTCCAGTCAGCTCAGCTCGTCTGGGGAACCGGGGTTTAGAGCAGGACCCCTGGGGATGGGCGAGGCCGCCCCTACAGCGTCTCTAAGGACCTCCCTGTGCCAGAGAGGCCCCTAACCTAGCGTTCAGACTCTCCATCCCGCCGTTCACCCCTCACCACCCCACATCCAGCTCTTCCCAGGGCCTGGCCTTTCTTCCGGCCACATGGACCCTCCTATCCCAAGTCTGGAACTCAGCTCCTGTTCTCCCAGTTCTTCTCTACTTGACACAATACCTTCTGCTGCTCTCCTCATTAACTCACTTGTTCAACCAAAAGGTGTGAACTGAGGCCCGCTTACGTGCCAGGTACCGTGTGAAGGGCTGAGGATTACAAACACACCAACGCACACAAACAAGACAGGCTCCCGTCATCCTCTTTTTTCATGACATTTTCCCTGAGACTTCAGCTCACCTTGTTTTGGCAATCTCTGAGCCCATCCTAGGTTCCCTCACTGAGCTGGGTCATGGGACTGTACACCCTTTGAGGGCAGGGGTGGTGTCTCCCTCCTCCTCCCACTTTCTTAGAACAGGATTGGGAATCCGTTGGCCAGAGCGCTCCAGAGTGTGAGGAGGGTACAGGAGCCAGAGTGGATGACCTCAGCCATATTTAGCCAAACCACAACTGCTGACTTAAAGATGTGTTCCAGGAGCCAGGAGCCATGCTGTGTGATTGACATACAGTCTCCCTTAATCTTCCCAGTAGAGTTCTCTCGCTGACCGATCTCTACAAGTCTATGTGATTCCAGGTCCCAAAATGAGAAGGAAGACGAAGAGACCATCAGGTGGTGGGGTGGCTGGGAGGGCAGGGCTGCGTTTGCCAAGACTAAAGGACTCCCCTTTCAGCTCTGGCCAAAAGAGGAGGAACAAAGAGGAGGTGGGAAAGTAGGAAAACTGGGCAGAACAGATCTTCCCATGTTAAGTCAAAGTGACTGTATGTGAAACCATGACCCATTGGGAAACCAGGGCCAAGGGCCTTCAAACCATCCACAGTAATCTCTCTGGAATATATGTGAGCCGAACATTTTAGAGTCAAGTGATTATTCTCTTCTTATTCTTGAGGGCATTATCGTATTATTGCAGTTACTAATTGAGCATCCATTTTGTATAGAACATACCAAATATGTTATTTTTAATTGTCACAACAACCCTACGAGTAAGGCAATATCACTCCTACTTTATAGATTAGGGAACTAGAGGTACAGCAACTAGCTCAGGGCACATAGTAAGAGTGGTCTGGTCTACTAGATTTTGCCATTAGTATCTTTTAAAATTGCTTTATTGAGGTATAGTTGACATACAGTAAGTGCGCATATTTAAAGCAGATAATTTGATGAGTTTCATGAAACCATCACCACAATGAAAAGAGGGATATTCATCACCCTTGAAAGGTGTCTTCATGCTTTATAATCCTTCCTTCTGTGTCCGTGCTCCCAGGTAACCACTGATCTGCTCTCTGACACTATACATTAGTTTGCATTTCCCAGAACTTTACATAAATGGAATTAGACAGTATGTACTTTTTTTTTTAATATGGCTTCTTTCACTTGGCCTATTTGGGTATCATCCTTGCTGTTGGATGTATTGATGATTTATCCATTGTTACTGCTGAGCTGTATTCCATTAGATGCACCACAGTTTACCCATTTACCTGTTAATCGACATTTGAGTTGCTTCCAGTCCGGGGCTGTTACAAATAAAGCTGCTTGTCTATGTGAACATATGCTTTGTTTCTTTAGGGTACACACCTAGGAGTAGCATGGCTGGATCATATGATAGGTGTACTTTAACGTCTTAAGAAACAAAAGTGCTGGTCCGGGAGTTCGAGCCCCGCGTCGGGCTCTGGGCTGATGGCTCGGAGCCTGGAGCCTGTTTCCGATTCTGTGTCTCCCTCTCTCTCTGCCCCTCCCCCGTTCATGCTCTGTCTCTCTCTGTCCCAAAAATAAATAAACGTTGAAAAAAAGAAACAAAAGTGCTTTCCAAATTGGCTGTTTCATTTTACATTCCCACCAGCAATGTTATGAGAGTGCCAGTTCCTCCCTATCCTCAGTGACACCTGGTATGATCAACCTTTTTCATTTTAGCCATTCTGACAGGGGTGTAGTGGTATCTCCTTGTATTTCCCTAATGGGTATTAGTGTTGAACACCTTTTTATGTGTTTCTTTGCCATCTTTGTATCTTCGGGGTTAACTGTTCAAATCTGCTCTGCTAAAAACTGGGTTGTTTGTTTTCTTATTATTGAGTTTTGAGAGTTCTTTACATATTCTGGATACAAGTCTTATATCAGATGATTATTTCCAGTATTTTTTCCCAAACCGTAGCTTATCTTTTCACTTTCACAATAGTGTATTTTGAACAGCAGGTTTTTGTTTCTGATGAAGCCCAATTTACCAATTTGTTCTTTTACAGATTGTACTTATGGAGTTGGGGCTAAGAAATCTTTGCCTTACCCAAGATTTCTAAGGTTTTCTTTCATGTTTTCTTCTAGAAGTTTTATAGTTCTATGTTTATTTCTAGAAGTTTTTATGTTCAGTTGTACATTTAGTCTACCATCCCTTTTGAGTTAAATTTTGTATATGCTGATGCAAGGTAGGAATCCAAGTTCATTTTTGCTTATGAATATCCAATTGTTCCAGCCCCACTTGTAAAAATTATCCTTTATCCACCAAACTGCCTTTATACTTTTGTTGAAAATCAGTTGTTCATATATATATATATGGATCTGTTTCTGGACTCCATTCTGATCCACTAATTCATTCATCTTTATGACAGTACCACAACTGTAATAATTACTGTAGCTTTGTAATGAATCTTGAAGTCAGGTAGTGTGAGTCCTCCAATTTTGTTCATTTTCAAAGTTGTCTTGGATATTCTAGGTCCTTTACATATGAATTTTAGAACGACTTTGTTTACAAAAAAAGCCTACAGGGGTTTTGATCGGGATTGCATCAAACATACAGATCCGTTAAAGGAGAACTGACAATATCAAGTCTTCTGACCCATTAACAAGGTGCACCTCTACATGTATTTAGGTCTTCTTCAACTGCTTTCAGCAATGTTTTGTAGTTTCCAATGCATAAGTCTTTCATTTTATCAGATTTTTCTCCAAGTATTTCAATGTTTTCAATGTTATTGTAAATGATATTCTTTTCAAAATTTCAATTTAAAATTGTTCACTGCTAGGATAAAGAATATAGAAATTCAATTGATTTTAGATACTGAACTTGTATCCTGCAACCTTACTAAACACACTTATTAATCACTTTTTGTAGATTCCATTAGATTTTTTATATTGGTGATCTTATTGTCTGTGACTAGAGACAGTTTACTTCTATCTTTCCAATCTGGTTGCTTTATATTTCTCTTGCTTATTGTACTGGCTAGCATCTGTATTTTTTTTTTTTAATTTTACTTAAATCCAAGTTAGTTAACATATAGTGCAATAATGGTTTCAGGAGTAGAATTTAGTGATTCATTGCTTGCATATAATACCCAGTGCTCATCCCAACAAATGCCCTCCTTAATGTCCATCACCCATTTATCTCATCCCCCCACCCAACACCCCTCAAGCAACCCTCAGTTTGTTCTTTGTATTTTAAGAGTCTCCTATGGTTTGCCTCCTTGTTTTTATATTATTTTTCCTTTCCTTCCCCATGTTCATCTATTTTGTTTCTTAAATTCCACATATATTTATTTTTGTCTGAAAAATACAATTTCTCTGAATCATATATTTATCTTTCTCTGACTTGTTTTGTTTAACATAATACATTCTAGCTCTATCCACATTGTTGCAAATGGCAAGATTTCATTTTTT